GCTGTCTGCACATACACACAGACCCAGCAGGGACCAGGTCCCGGATGGTTCTGGAATTTCACTCACAGCAGTTTGGATTTATGTTCACGCTGGACGTTTTGTTACGGCTTCAATCGTTTGGACATAAAACCTCAGGTTTGGTCGAAGCTTCGTTTTAAAGACACACACTCATTTTTACAACAAACATATTTTCCAATAGTTCTCCTCATTAGGGCAAATTACACTGTAAAAAAGGATTGGAGATGTATGAGATAAAGCGGCGCTGACCCATTCTGGGCTCTACTAACAAACCAAGGCCACAGTCGTTACCTGTCTGACTTTAACGACACACATTAGTTGGTATAAACGCTTCCTGCGACGCCCTGCTGTTCCACGAACGCCTCCTTTCACTGTTCATTTAGCCGTCGTTTCAAAGGCGGCGTCTACGTTGACATTTAGCTTCGGAGAATGACTCCAACTGAGAAGGTCTGAAGTCCAGACCACATGCCCGTGTTCCCTGTTGTGTTGACTGACGTCCCACTGCGGTGAGTGGAGAAGTGTGAAGGTTGTAAAGAGCTGCTGCAGCTGAGAACCTGAAGCTGGGCTTCAGTTTCTGATCGACTGAAGAAATCTGCACGGACGAACCAGTCGTCCAGATGGTTGTTCATTTCCCAACTAATAATGTATAAAACATTCTGGGGGGGGTGGGGGGGGGATGCGTTCTTTTCTACAACGATTCATTGTTTCCAAAGACCAACAGCACCGACAGTGTCCACCTCCGTTCCCAGAATCGTGACAGTTGTGTCTTTGCATTGAAGCGTGAAGTTTAGCACCTGGGCTCAGACGGAGCCCAGCACCACCGTGTCAAACCGGAGAGCAGGAGCGGCCTTTTGGTTTGTTGGTTCCATCCCAAAATAAACACAAGACGCTGCTCACAGAACTTCTCTTCAAAGGGTCGAGAAAGTAGTGGGGTCAAAATGAGCACTTTTGAACCGCAACCTTTGAACAAACCAGCACCGGTGTTTAGTTGGTGTTTAGGAGACGAGAGAGAGAGAGAGAGAGAGAGAGAGAGAGAGAGAGTGGGAGAAAACCTGGAGGAAACCTGGAGGAAACCTGGAGAACTTCAGAAGAATCTCCAGTTAAGGCCGATTTTCAACTATATATATATATATATATATATATATATATATATCTACGTGTGTATATACATGTGTATATATTTATTTATATATTTTCTTTTTTCTGGTCTCTTCTTGAGCTCGCCCGCCCCTGCACTCCCACTGTGTACACAGTGAGTCACTCTCTCTCTCTCTCTCTCTCTCTCTTCTGTCAGTTTCTGTGGGATTTCACAGTTCCTCTGTCAATCAGACATCACAGTGGCCAAAGCCAGACTTTCTTCCTGTAGCCGTCCTGTTTTCTGGAACAGGATGCCTCTGATTCATCTGAAGGTCATGAGTGACTGAATGAACAGAACCTCACAAGCGTTCATGTCTGTTTCACACTGATCTGCTGTGACGAACCGATGAACCGCTGCTGATTGTTTTCTTATAAAACAGGTGTCAAACCCGATCAGCCAAGGAAACGAAGGTTAAAACACAGTCGGAGTTTATACAACTGTGTGATGACGAAGCAGAAACTTTAAACAGATTTAAACATCTTTTTACCTCCAAAAAAACTATTCCAAATATCAAATCAAGTGCTGAATAAGTTCTAGTCCCACGTGTTGACGTGATTTGACTTGTTGATATTTCCATTTGCCTGGATGTCGGGGGGGTGGGGGTGGGGGGGGGGATCTGTGTCACACACACACACACACTGAATCTGACCAGTCCATAACTAACCCTCAAATCTGAACCACAGGCTGAGGAACCTTCACATCCGACGCTGCTGCTCTTCTGTCACAGAAAATCAAATCAACCGTTGACAATAAACTGTGAATCTCACATGCATGTTTTTGGACCCGGGGGAGGAAACTGAAGTACATGAAGAAAGAACCACAACAACAACAAAAAAAAGAAGCAGTGTTTAAACTGGTAAACGTCTTGGTGCGAGGTAACGGCACAAAACCACGACTGAACCTCGGACGGTTTTTCACTTCTTTACATCAGGGTTTAAATCCCAGATGATATTTAACCTGAAATACTGATTATTTGAGTGCACTGCACGTTGTTCCCACGCCAAGGTAGTAATTTGTCATTCCTCGGAGGGTTTGTCTGTTCAGGGCTCAGCATTGTAGTTCAGGAGTTCTTTTTAACCTCAAGCTAATTTCTCTCTCTCTCTCTTTGTACTCCGTACCTTTGAAGAAAAGCAGAAGCACTGATATTTAAATGACACCCAAAAAGCTCTGTGTGTGTCTGTGTGTGTGTGTGTGTGTGTGTTGACTAGCTCAGGGCTGGACAGGCACCACCCAGGCACACACTTAAAAGTCACACAACTTGTGACTGGAGATAACATCTTAGAAAAACAGTCATTGTTTCCCAGAGAACTGCAGTTTGGAACTGGATTTTTTCACAGATGTTTTCTCTTTGTTATCACTGATCACCATCTTTGTTCATTTTCATTTCAAATAAACAAATATTTTCTCATGTCATTTAAGTGGTTCAGGGAATTTCTCTGCCCGACGTTGGACCAACCCTAGAAGAACACAGTAAATACAAACAATAATAATAAATAAATAAATACTGACCAGCGGGAGCTCGAACACATCATCCTCTGACTGTGACCCATGAAGTTAATATTTTGATGAAATATTAAAAATCATATTTCTCGATTTACATTTCAGATGAACCCTAGAGAAAGGGATTAAGGCTGAGATTGACATTTGGACAAATGAATGTCTCTTCTAGTAAACAAGGTTTTTAGACATTATGCATAAAAAACCCCTCAAAACTGCAGATGTGGAGGTGGTAAATATCTTTAAAGGAACAATAAGAGTTCACTCCCCTTTAAGAACAATTACACAATTACTGTATTTTCATACAATATTTACATAAAACACAGCCTGTTGCCAAATATCTAGAGTAATGTTTTGTTGTATCAACCTGTGACGACAGACTCCAGATCAGTCTCTTCCTCCGCAGATTGAAAACAGAACAGGTTTTACTGAAACATCAACTGTGGTTAAACTATAGGGACGTGTTTGATGAGGCACGAACGTAACAACAGTTTAGTTTCATCCAACTTCATGTAATTGGTAACAACAACAGTGAGGGCGGGTTTCGTACCCACAACCTCAACTGTCGGTACTGTGAAGGTAAATTTCGACTACATTTTATTGACAGTTCCAGAGCGGGTGTTGATTGGATCACTCATCCAACCACCATCATTCAAACCAACATCAGTGCCCGTCGACCCAGAGAACAAAGTTCTCCTTCAAATGGACTCTGTGGTCAAATTGATTTGTGGACGTCACACAAACAAACGACGTCAGCTGAACTGAGACGATATCACAAGACGGAAATGTGAAACAATTCTGTTATCTAACAGGAAGATGAGGAGTTTTAAACTTTTGTTCTGGAAGATTCATAAGAAACGTTGTTGTTTTCACTGTCAATACAAACCTGTTCCAAAAGACGAGGGTTTTGAAAAAGTTTCTCCTTTTTTATGTTGATAAAAAAAAAAAAAAAGCCAATTTGAACAGTGGACTGACCAAAACTGAGGTTCCACAAACAAGACTTCAAAGGCACCAGAGTGATGATGATTTCTGGTGAATAACATTTCACATAATAATAATTAACAATGACTGGTTATTAATAAAGCACCACTGGTGAAAACTAATTAGAGAGTTTTTTTGAGACTTATTGAAATTCAAGCACAAAGAAACATGAGCTGCTCTCTAACAAGAACATTAACTTCAACCACTCACTCACTTCCACCTAAACCTAATCCAACCAGTTTAGGGAAAAGAGAAAAATCTGATGAACGTGAATCACAACCTAAGAATCATCCCAGGTTTCCAGTCCAGCTGGTTAAAACTGAACAGATATTCACAGACATGGGTTGGACCTGTGCTCTTTCAGAGCTGCTCCTGACCACATGGTGTTAGAATCCACGTCTTCTGGCAGAAGGCTTTTGTCTTTGCTCTAATGAAACTAATGAAAGACCAGGAAACGCGACTTCACACTGGGACCAACATCAACATCCAACATCCAACATCCTGACCAACATCCTGAATGGGAGGCAGGAACCGCTCCCTGGTATCAGACACATCTGATGTAACGGCCCACTGCTGTTACACACTGTGTCGAGTTCAACGTTGACAAGGTCAAACATCACGTTTTAAAGTCACCACATCCCATACACAAGAACAGTGTTAAACAAACAAACAAACCAACAAAGCAACAAACAAACAAACAAACCAACAAACCACAAACAAACAAACAAACCAACCAACAAACAAACAAACCAACAAACCACAAACAAACAAACAAACAAACAAACCAACAAACCAACCAACCAACAAACAAACAAACCAACAAACAAACCAACCAACAAACAAACCAACCAACAAACAAACAAACAAACCAACAAACAAACAAACCAACAAACCACAAACAAACAAACAAATAAACCAACCAACAAACCAACAAACAAACAAACCAACAAACCACAAACAAACAAACAAACAAACAAACCAACAAACCAACAAACAAACCAACAAAGCAACAAACCAACAAACAAACAAACAAACCAACAAACCAACCAACCAACAAACAAACAAACCAACAAACCACCAAACAAACAAACAAACAAACAAACCAACAAACCAACCAACAAACAAACAAACCAACAAACCAACCAACAAACAAACCAGCCAACAAACAAACCAACAAACAAACAAACAAACCCCAGAGCCTAAAATGATCACTGGAATTATGAAATTCAAGTGTTGCTAACGGAGCAGGTCAAAGGTCACCTGTGCCGTTGTATTTAATACCGTAGCCAAATCTCCCGGCACCAACAGCTGTTGTGTAACAATAAATATATATATATATAAAAAAACAGGAGCTTATGAAAAGAAAGTCTTTCTTTGTAGGATCTATTTAATGGAGTGAATGTTTTATGGGTTGGAGAACGGACTAATGGACTGGAACTGTTTAAAATATATGTACAAACATATGACATGTTTTAAATGACAAAAACACACTGATCATTAGTGTGAAATAACAGAGCAGGGGTTGAAGGCATACTGTCATCAGTAAAGACAGACATCCACAGTCATGGCATAAAAACAGTAAAAAAAAAAAACAATAAATAACACGGGAGACAAAAAGAAAATAAAAGTCTCCCTCGTACCACCACAGTGCTCCCAAATTACAGTAATTTGACTGAGGAATTGCACCGTGCCGAGTCACTGCACTGTAACTAATTATTGCACTGTGACTGTGAAAACATTCACATCAGATGACAGGAAAGAAACTGCTCCAGACAATGGGCTCAGTAATGAGTCAATGAAAGACTGCTGCCTCACAAGCACAACTGACGCTCAGACGTGTCCACCACCAGGTCCACCACCAGGTCCACCACCATCAGCTGCTGCTGATCAATAACACAGTCAATTGTTCTGAATAATTCGATCTCTGGGAAAAGCAGCCAGTAGTTTTTAGTTTTTTGAGGAAGTTCATGAAATCAGGGCTAAGAGTAAAAAAGGCACTTTCATCAGCTATTCTACTCTGACACCAGAGAAGTACGGACGTTGTGACAAAGCAAAAATAAAAATGTTATTTACTCAAATCTGTTTTGTGATGGAAGATCAAATTTAAAAAAATCAATGATTTGTGAAATTCTGTGGGACCTAGAACCAGTTTCAAGTTGTTTTTTCAGGAGCATCAACCAAACGTCAGAAAAGGTGATTAACAATAATTACAGACCATCCTGACTGTTGCAGTAACCAGTAACATCAGAGGCTCGTAGCAGTGAGTAAAAAGATGTTAGAAGAATGTGCTCCATCTTGAATTACCTACGGTTCTACAAAGGTTCTGACTGCATCACAGGAAAAACCATCAACATATCAAGGACTTATGATGAAGCAGGAAACAACTCAGTGACTTTTTATCCCTGGTTCATTAACAACAACAAAGTGGGATTTAAGGTGGACCGTGTTTGTGTGTAACATGAATGCTGATGGTGAAACACTAGTCTGAGACGTGCGAAGTTACAAACACAAATTTAAAAAAGTGAAACTTGCAGGAGGATATTGTCAACACAGGCAGCTACGACGGACGCGGCGTTAATACTGAGCGTTGAGAAGGAAGTGAATGCACAGAACACTCGTCTTTTCTTATCTTGATAAAAGCAGAACATCCGGACAATATTTTATTAGCAGTGCGCAATAACTTCATCCCACTGTGGAGTCGGCTGAAGGAGGAGGTCTGTTTTCTGCTAATGTGCTATGAAATGTCCTCCTGTGATGTGGAAGGAAAATAAGGAACACATGACAAAGCCCGAGACTGATGATATGAGAGTACATCATTGTTGACGCTGACATAAAACGGGTGTTCCAGGTCAGAGACGTCTGCGTGGGCCTGTTTTCCGAGAGAGGGGAAAAAAAAATACACAGAAAAACATTCATCTGTGATAAAATAATGCTGTAGTGTGTGAAGGATAGCAGACGGACACGAGGAGGCGAGAGGGTAACGTGACAGAGGGAATGACTTAATAGTTTTTAGATGGGATCACAATGAGATTTAGTGGAGTGTGCAGCTGCGAGAACAGGCCATGGTGACGTCGTTGGCAGGAAATGCAGAGGGGAGATCAACGAGGACTTGAAGACACTGAGGATCACAGGTCTGTTGGTGATGAAGAGAGCAGGGTCGTGTGGGTTCTGAGCTCTCGGACTTAGAACTCCCAGCTCTTTGTTATGCCTTTAGAGAAATCACGGGGAACACGTCATTTCCTCGAATTGTCCACGATACAATCAATGTTACAAAAGCAACAGCTAAATGAGTCACATCATCATCATAATAATAATAATCCAGTGATAAACAATAATAGTAGTGAGGGAAAAATAAAATGTTTATTTATAACTTTTGCAGTAATACGTAGGCGAAACGCGTGTGTTCAGAACGGCGGTTTTTAACGGATGGTCTCAATTTGGCTTTGTGCTTATCGCTGTGCGCAGACCAACATTTCCCTTTATTTATTCTTAGAGCCGCAGGACCCTGGTGAGTGGCCTGCAAACAAATCAAAAAAGTAAAATGGCAACGGATTAGGAAAACGTAGAAAGCTCTATAAAAGTGGTCCAGATATAAATGTTGTCAATCGTTGCTCAATATACGCTCAATCTCCTCCAGTCTCTTCAAAGCAGCGGCTCTTTTCTTCTCTATATCCCTGATCTCCTCAGTGGACTTACCCTGAGTCCGCTTGTCAGACTGGCTGCTGTCCAAAGACTGGGATGTGTCCACGCTCACACCCACAGGGCTCCTCGCAGAGGATTTCCGCGCATTCTTTTCATCCCCAGCCCCCGTTCTAGCAACAGCAACACCGACGGCAGCCTCCCCTTCCTCCTGACGGAGGACAAACTCCTCCTTCCCCTCCTCCACTCTCTTCTCCTTCTCCTGCGTGGCCGTCGATGTGGCTCCCTCTGCTGCAGAGAGCGGCTGCCCTGCCGCACTCATGGCAGCCATTTTACTCCGTACGATGCTCAGGTGACGTCGTACGTACTCCTCGTTGGGCGCCAAGGCCAGTGTTTCCTCCAGACAGCGCTCGGCCCGCGGCAGGTCACGCTCCTCAAAGTAAACCACGCACAGATTGTGCTTACCCTGCACGTTGGTGGGGTCCATTTGTAAAATGCGCTCGAAGCAGGCTTTAGCACCGCTGGTGTCCTTCTTGTGGTTCATGAGGATGTCGCCCTTCAGAATCAGACCTTTGATGTGCTGCGGATGGTGGTGAAGGAGCTCGTCCAGCACCGGCAGGGCATCAAGCTCACGTTTGGACTGAGAGTGGAGCAACGCCAAGTTAAACAGGGCGCTGCGGAAGCCGGGCTGCAGACCAATGGCTTTGCGCATCCATTTCTCAGCCGCTTCGTTTTCGTTGGCGTCCATGGCCAGCATGCCCAGGTTAAAGTAGCCGTTAGCATCTCCAGGCTCCTCCTCCACGTAGGCCAGGAAACGACGGTTGGCCTCGGGCCAGAACTTTGGCTCGCCTGCAGTAAAAAGTGGAGAAGTTGGTCTAGATGATTTGTGACTTAAGAAAGAAAATCATTGACGTTTGACCTGTTTCAAAGTTTGTCTACATTTGTAAAGTGAAAAAGTCCATTTTAGCAACTGGGTAAAATGAAAAAAAAAAAAACCAAAAGACTGTAAAAAATGACTGTTATAAGTAGATTAGAAAAGTCCAGTAAAGATGATGCAGTACAGTTTATCGTCTGTAGGCAGAGCACAGTAACTCATGGTGTCTCTTTAAGGACACGACACAGACCCCACTGCAGCACAGAGCGGCCGGTGCCTTCAACAGCTGCAGCGCATTAGTTGAGAGAAGCTGGAAAAGTTTCTTTATACACCGTCCAAAATGATACCATTATTTCTACTTCAGGGACTCTCTACAGGGGCAGCGGTGGCTCAGTGGTTAAGGAGGTGGACTTGGGTCCGGCAGGGTTCAGGTTCGCCTCCACCAGCTGCCAAGTTACCACTGAGCAGCGTGGCACCACTGCTTAAAGCTCTCCACTGCTGACTGTGGTGATGGGTTAAAAGCAGAGGTCACATCTCACTGTGTGCAGTGGGGCAGTGGTGCAGTGGTGCGTCACAGTGACAACTAGTTCACTTTCCTATTTGCAAACACAAGCCAAAACAAATTCAAATTTAATTTCTGGACAGAACCAAGATCCAAGTCTGGTAAATGTTAGAGGATTCTCAGTTTAATGATCTGTGAAAGTTTCACTCTGGGTCAAATAATTTTCCATTTTCAAAGAATAGGGTTTGTGGACACGGTGTTAAAGCTTCACCTCCTGATGTCCTCACTGTAATGGAGCTGTCCAAATCAAAGAGCTTGAAGTTGTACCGTGAAGAGCCACAGAGAGAACGTGGCCCACGGTAACTGTAACAGTTGTAACAGAGTGTGGTCTCAACAGTCCGCACGTCCATGTGACCCTCTGCTGAACTTTGATGAAATGTCATCAGAGACGTGATTGAATTTTATCAATGGACTTTAGAAAAAACAGCTGCCGGAGAATGCTGCGAAAATGTCAATTTGTAAATTGCTCAGACTGAATGTGTGACATTATAGGAGCACAATAATAGTCAATGTAGCATTTTGTTCAACAGAGAACAGACCCCTCCCTCTATTTTAATGCAGCAACTTTTCCATTAAATTGTCTTTTTCTAAAAGTGAATCTTTGTCAAAAAGTGTTTGAGCCCAGACATGTAGCCCACATGTCAACTGTCTGCGTGGAATGTTATTTTAACGTGTAATTATTTATTATTATTTAAGGAGCATTAAGCCTGTCCTTCAGGTTCTTCACCCACTCTTCTCTGGTATTTATATCTTACACATGTTTAAGGTTGAATGAATCCTGTCAAAAGGCTTCATCAGTCTATCCTGGTGTGAACTCGTTGAAAGAGCTCAACCGTGGTTGACGTGGCGGACAACACGCAACTGACGTATTGCTCCTTAAAACAAACCACAATTGTTTTTAATACAAACTATTTGTTTATTTTGTTGTAATAGTCACCCACGGGGTTTTTTTTTTTTTTGCAAGAGTGAATGTGTCTGATTTGACAGAAACTTGGCAACAAAGTCCACTTCCATTTCAAGTTCACTGCAGGCCAAGTGTTGAGTACAGACGAACACACTGACTGCCCGTGTTGACTTTCTTTTGTCAACAGTGATTGACACTATTATTTTAGCTTTTGAGCAAGTGTAAATGAATACATCTCAATTACAGCCTTAACGATTCTTGATCTCCAGCCGGAGGCAATTGAAAGCAGTGAGAGAGGAGTGAGGAAGAACCCACTGACCTGGAGAAGGCTGTGTTCCACACTGATCAACAACAAATATTGATTAGCAGTTGATAAAATAGTACAAATAAATCCATCCATCTGTATGTAACTGAGTATGTCAGCAAACATGCAGCCGTCACGTGTTGATGACGTGGTTCTAAAGAAGTAACAATAAGAAATGAATCATGAATCGTGTTGTGGACTCTCAGACTCAGCAAAGAATTTAATTATTTTTAGATTAGGTTTTTCTAACTCATTATTAGTTTTTCTAGTAAAATGATATGGTTTGATGGTAAACAAAGAGGTCTTTGCACTGAGGTGGTGAAGAAATGAAGGAGACCTGCTCTTCATGAGGATTCAACCACAACTAACTACAACAAACTACAACAAACTACAACAACTAACTACAACAACTAACTACAACAACTACCAACAGCTGTTCTCCTGGGGTCAGTTCCTGGGAACAACGGGATCGTTTCAAAACTGACAAGACAACAGGTAAACGTGACAATCGTACTCACCAGACTCCTGCATGAGAAGTGCTGAGTTGAACAGCGCCAGCTTGTGGCGAGGGAGGAGAGTGAGTGCATGGTTGAAGTTCTTCAGGGCTTCTGAAGGCTCCTTCATCTCTATGTTGACGATGGCCAGGTTGTACCACAGGTCAGCGTTGGTGCGGTCCAGCTCCAGGGCTCTGAGGTAGGCGTCCCGTGCCTCCGTGAGTTTGTTCATTTTCAGGAGGAGTTCTCCTCTGAGAATGAACAACAACAACAACATAAAACACCTTCTAACGCTGACAGTCTCCAATGCTGACGTGTGATGTAGCACTTGATTTAAAGACCAAATCATGTTAAAGTCTGATTCTTGCCTGCTGATGTAGGCTTGTTTGAAGTCTGGTCTCATGCTGATCGCTTGCCTATAAAGTTGGTCGGCCTCTTCCAGACGGGACTCGTTATTCCGTATCAGATTGGCGAGGTTAATGTAAACGTTCAGGTGGTTGGGGGCCACACGTGTTGCATACTTCTTACCTGGAATAACCTGTTGAGTAGTTCAAACCTCATAAGTTACACCTGAAAGTGCACTTAACAACAAAGGAATGTAACCATGCCCTCCTCGTTAACACTGACATCTTTACCGTGTGTGTGAGAACAGGAAGTTAGAACAGGTGGTCCATGGAGATGAGTGAGTGTTTAGTGAGTGTACAGACACATGCAGTTGTCAAAGAAGTGTGAAGACAACTGGACCAACATTAAACACATCAGTTGCTACTTTGTGTTTAACTTCTGACACGTGAACAATAATTAAAAACAGCTTCAATTATGGCAGCTGTTCTCATTTCCTCTGTGCAGCACTTTTATCCAGTTACTGTCAGTATGGACTGAACAAGACAGCACAACAGCACAGGTTTGGTGGGCTGGATTAAAATACCAAACGGGCCACATCTGGCCCTCGTGCCGTAGTTTGCCCAGGTCTGACTTAGAGCCTTCCATATACCAGATGAGGAAGCCAGCAGTAATACATGAAACACAGTTTGAGCCCCAAAGAACTGTGGGATATTCTACACATTCACACTAGTCTAATGTCTATGCTACCCTTTCAAAGACAAACCAGAAAAGAAAGACCAAAAAAAAAAGCTATTTGAGCTGAAATAACAACAGTCAAGTCAAGTGAGTGCCGGCTGTGACAGCTGCATCTGTTTGACTCAGGGCGGGAACCTTTTACTGGGTTTGTCTCAGAAAACCTTCAAGAAATCTCACTGCAACATTGATTCAACATTACTGCTGTGTAAAGTGATGCCTGAGAACAAGTGTTCAAAGCACTCAAAGCTCAGTACTTGGGTCAGAGGGGTAAAAGTATGACAGTTGGACCTGGATGACATCATACCTGGGGCATGAGCGATTTGGCAACCAAGTATGCATCTTCAGCTTCTTTGGACTTGTTCAAATTCTTGTAAGTTCTTCCAACATTCATATGAGCCCCGATGTCATCTGAAAAAAGAAATGTTTATTTTAACAGGCAGTTATTTCATTTATTTACACAATATATTTCACAAACATCATCTTCATCATCTTCAACAGTTGGAGGAAACACAGCCAGTCCTGGCTGGGATCATGTTCCGTGGACAGGATTCACATACTGTACGGAGAGCAGCAAGCGTTCATACCTGTGGTCAACTGCACGTTATTAGACAGGAAACTGATGGGCCTTTACCCAAAACAAGGATGCAGTAATGGAGAAGAGCCAACCACAGCAAACAACAAGGGGAAAATGACGCACAAAATCCAGTCAGTCAGGACGATGTAGAAGAGACTTACTCCTGCTACTGTGTCACGGATGTTTTTAAAACCATGTATTTTCACACAACATTATAATGATACTGTATGAAGTTGCATAGTGTAGGGTTATCACGCCTTCTTACGCCGCTGCCCTACACACGGAAGGTCGTGGGTTCGAGCCCCGTAGGAAGCATATACTTACTTACACTGTGACTTTTCCAATTGTGGGATAAATAAGGAACTCCATAAAAAATGAATTTGTTTGGCTTTAACATTTTTACAAAAACTGTTTTATTTTTTTAGGTGGGTTCGTATTTCTTACCTGGCTGGACACGTGTGGCCTGAAGAAAATAGCGCAGAGCTGTGGCGTAACTGTACTGGTTTTCAAGAGCATGGCCAACATTATTCCACAACTTGGCATTGTTCTTGTTGACCTGCAGGGAAATAAAGGTATTCTAAATATCCCAATGACTTGTAATGTTTTATAAAAGAGATCTGTCATCATACGTTCTAAAAGATGCGTCATTATATCATTTGATGGTTTAATCATGACAGGCGGTGATGACAGACGCGTTGGGTCCCTGGACCACAGCCAGGAGAAAGCAGTATTTTGGGCCAAGACATTTTGCCAACGCCATCTTAATTCTTCCCATCTTACCTTCAGGGCGGAGGTGAACAGAGTGTATTCTGACTCCCAGTCCCAGTTCCTGTTGAAGGTTTTCATTGTGTGTGTAGCTAAAAGAACTCCGACCATCAACCAGGAGAGTTTCTTCATGTGTCTGCAATGGAAGATTTAAACAATTCAATTTCCCTCTGAAGCTGAGTCAAAGGAACAGCTACATGAGTCTGATTTATCCTCTGTCTAACAACCCCTGGCTGTAATTAATGAAAATATGTCAAGGAACTAAAACTACGTATTTTGGACAGATAACAGAGCAGCTGAAAGCAGCTTCCTTCACACTCTCTGTTACCTTCTGTACGTGTTTATTGGGGTCATTTTCATTAAATCCAACTTTCACCAGACAAACAGTTACAAAGCAAACAAACAAAAAACTATCTCAGCACTGAGTCTTACACAGGAAAACAATGGCACGGCTGAACATGGGTTCAATTTGGGAAACCACCAGGGACCGAAGAAAGTAATGTCCATATTTATGGATTCACTTTTATTGATTTAATCATGCCATGACTAATGGACAAAACAATTAATTTGTAAAAATGCCAAGAAAAAAATGAGACTAAGAAATTTGTAAAAATGCCAAGAAAAAAATGTTTTTGTGCATCTTCACAGAGGCATGAGTCTGAAACTCAAGGTGCTTCAAAACCAACCAAACAAAACTCCACAAAATAAAGTCAGTTAACACTGAATGTTTGATGACAACTGTGACGTGAGAAATGAAATGAAAATAAATATGTTTTCTGGTTTTCCATCGTTCACAGAGGTTGGAGAAATCTGTTTTTATTTGTCTGCATAACAGACAAATTACACTTCTGTCTGTTTGTTTTTAAATGAACTGTAATTTTGCAGAACCACTCACCCTTTGTGCGAGACAATCTTGAAGCCATGAGCCACCAGGACACAGAAACCCATGCTGGGCACGTAGAGAACCCTCTCAGCCACAACGAAGCCCACGGGAAAGAAGAGGTTGGAGGCAGGAATAAAGGGGAGCACCATCAAACACAGAGCCTGAAGAAAAAGAGAAAAAGAAACAACTTTGGTAAAAAAAAAAAAAAAAAAAAAGTTTAAGGTTGAAATGGTACAATGTTGTTCTGTAAACAATTTATCAAACGTCATCAAACTGAGTTTGGTGGTTCTCATGTGTTTAATGTTTGTTGTTTAGTTAGGATCCTGTCACAGCAACTCTGACTAAATGGATGTATTTTAAATGATCTCTTCATCTCTGATGAGAAAACATTTGAAAAGTGCAAAGAAGTAAAATCATTAAAAAGATCTAGTTGTCAAACCAACATCTTATATTTCCTGTGCGTCAGACGGCACCACATCGACCACTGTATGTCAGTATAACTGGATACTGTCAACGTATTATTACACTGTTGTCTCAGCAAACTCAGCAGTGAGGAAGTTTACTGAACTTGAAGTACAAGACTCATGACCTTGTTTTGCAACGTGAACTTTTGTGGCGTTTTTTTTTTTTTTTCTTCTGTGTAACAAAGTGGCAGATTTTATACATCTGATTGTTATATATTTATATGTACATAGTTGTGTTGTGTGAAATCTTTGGAATTATTTTCCCTAAAACAGGACTAAGTGTTTACATTATGGTATACGTGCAGAAGGTCCTGGGTTTGAGCCTCAGAAAAACTACATACAAATATATAAAACAAATTTCCCCTGTGTGGGATCAATGAAGCTACAGACAGAAGCCCAGTTCTGACCAAATAAATAATCAATTTACAGCTAATTTAATCATTAAATATTGGATTGGTAAATGTTTTCATTTAACCTCCAGTAAGGAGAGTCCACACCTCCACCTCCATTACCAATCTGAAACCGACTTCAGCAGAGACGGCCCACGAGCTGAGCACTGTGTAAGTGTTGCTTAACTCCTCTCACCATGATGACTGTCTTGGCAGAACTGTGTCTGTAACACAGGCTGTGATAGGCCAACAGACCCAGGAATACGTAAAAGACCAGCGTGGCCAGGTTACGCAGGTCCAGGAGCGACTCCACCAGAGGAATGGTACCCATGGTCCAGTCGCAACAGAGTTCTGAGGGGTTCAGGAGAAGCCACGCATTCACAGGAAGGAGATAGTTGAAAGTCAGTTGTCTTGTGGGGGCTGCACTGACGGCTGCTGGGTTATCAAACCTGTAAGGAGACACAGAAAAACAAAATTCTTTTTTTTTTCCCAGGAGGGACATGAAACTACTGCAGGGGGCCACAGGAGGGCAAATACCTTTCTGATTCAGCTCAGTGAGTTCAATGGTTTTGCAGGGATGAACATGCTTGAAATTAGGTTCACCTTCTATTTGTTGTTGACATGTTGACGTGTGGGGGATTATTCCTATCTACATAAGGGGGCGCTGTGGAAACAGTTTGGGAAGTGGAGCGTAGAACACTTTAAAACAATGGTTCCTGTTCCTGTGGTTAAACTGGTTAACTCTGCCATACAATATGGCTGCCACAAACACCCAGCTGGTTCAGAAACACACGGTGAAGGACTGTGTTCTCAGCAGGGGGTGTGGGCACCGAACAGCTGACTTGTGGATCCACTGAGGAAAATGCAAAGCCATGATCTCATGAAAGCTGTAAACATTAATGTGGACTGGGAGGGGTGGGGGACTTAAACTATGGCAGGGGCCACTGTTTATGGTCTGGTATATTATGACTCAGGGAATAAAAGTTTGGAGTTCACAAAAAGAAAAAACAATTTATTCATGATTTAATATTTGTTTTTGCCTCACACTCCAGCATTTTAAGTAATAAAGAGATTGACCTGAATGGAGGCAGAGACTTATGTTTGTCTAAGACTTAATGTGATACAGGATATCCTAAAACCATCTGTCATCCCTGGGAGCCCCCAAACACAGGTTAGATAAACATTCAATGCCAAAAGTGAATAAAACTAGGAATGTGCTGTTAAACCAAACGTTTTTTATGTAAGACATTGAAAAAAACCCCAAATGTTCTATTGATTTAAAAAAAAGGAACATCATGTTGAGGATGATCCACTGATAAGAACCTAAGATATTTGCCGTTACTCAGTTTCTCTGATACAACGTCAGATAAAATGATGCCACAGCACAGACTCCACAAAGGGATTTAAAAGCCAAATGTGTTTTGTCTTCAGCGGGGCTGACCTTAACTGCTAATCCTTTTCTGGCTGTGATAAGACATAATCACCTTTAAGGCAGATACAAAATCTTTACATGTCAAAATGTTGTGTCTCAAAAAGAGCATTTCTGAGACAATCTGGAGACGTCTTCTGAGACTGAGCAGTGAGGCAGAGGCCCACTGGGCCCCTCATCCAAGAGGCCCCTCTGGTTCTTATTGACTGCTGGGGGGGGGGGGATAAATCTGGTATTTAGGTTAAAAATTCATTGAAGAAACTTGAGTTAAACAATTTCTTCATACTTTTTTGTAATGATTTCTTGAAAGTAAGCAGCCTTTTTCATTTTAATGTATCGTATAAACAAGATATAAATACATTGCAAATCTGGTAAGATCTTTACAGAGAAACCAAATATCAGAGTGTGTTTGTACTTGTCAGGTTTGGTTTAGTTTAAACAAACAAGCTTGTTCACACCTGATTATGGTCAATGGTAATTATTTAATTAAAGTGACAGTTGATACCTTCCAGACCCAAGTCCACTTCCATGACCACCAAGCCACCACTGCCTCCTCCGTGGTAGCAGCGCGGCTCTTTATTATGCCTTTTAACTCATTTACACTCAATACTTCACCAAAACAGTGCTGTCAGAATCACAATGCCAAATAATGCTCCCATTTTGGAAAGAACCAGAGACGTAAACTTGAATTTAAGAAATAGAAATATGAAATACTTAAAAAGGCAAATTAATTATTAGTGTGAACGTGTTTAATGTGTTTGTCTAAAGTAATACACAGATTAAATCTGATTATTGAACAAATGAATGCAAATATTGGCAAAAAAAGAATCCAAAAGTAGAGTATAGCAAAGCATTGACCAGTTAGTGTAACCATGGCAACTCAGGGGGAGGAGTTAAAGAGACAGATTTTTTGTGGAGCTGTGCACCTTGGTGGAATGGGTCTGTTGACAAATGTGCTCCAATGAAAAGAGGGACAGACGGAAGTGAGTGTTTTTCAAAGTAAAATACAAAGGCCCGGCACCAAATGGTCACCACAGAATCATACACAGTTTTAAGCATCATTTTGCTGCAGTAATGCTTCCTACCTGGTGAAGACAGGGAGTTGAGACTGGATAACCTGGACTCTGATGATGACTAGCAGCAAGGTGCTGATAAAAAGTACAATCAGCTTCAGGAGAGTTTGAAGGACAGCATAAGGTAAACTGTCTTTACCCCGTAGCACTTGCCACAATGTTTCCAACAGCATTGGCAAAGTGAACTGAAAGAAGGAAAGCAGACACATGATTAACACCAACAATTCTAAATGACTGAAATACATGAAATAGAACAGAACAAGTTCATCAACGTTATCTACCTGACGTTCCAAAATGGCAGGGTCGTTAGCAATGCTAATGATCAAATAAAGACACACACAGATCTGTCTCTTTTGGTCTTTACAGCTATTGGCTGGTACATACTAGAAGATGTTTTTATTGTTCCTGTTTACTGTTTTTGTTAAAAAGGCAATCACAGCCCTAGTGGCAACTTGGACATAGGAGGTGTTGGTGCATGAGCAGGAGAAATCTAAACTGTCCTGACAGTCACAAAACAAATAATGAAAATTAAGTGACATTACCCCTTGAGCAACAAACACTTCATGGACACAGCAGATGCCAATGACAGTGATTCCCTGCTCTTTACACAACGTGGCTGCAGCCACAAGAACTACGGTCAAAGCAATAGGTGTCCATACTGAAACAGAGGAAATAAAAGGTTGAACATAAGTTAGAGGAAACCAAAGCAACTGGAAATGAGTAAAATCGTACAAGACTTACCGATGGAATGGTCTGCACCCGCTGACTTCGTGTATGCCAGGAAAGCAGCAAGGAGAAAGATTGAAGACAGAAGTTCTGCTCTGCCCACAACCCCTGTCACCTTAAATGAAAAGACAAAACCTTGTTAAATCTAGACCCAAAGATTTATTTTGAGTTTATCGTGGTTTGTCTGACACCAGGTCTACACACACTTTCTTTGTACAAATAACTAAGGAAACGTCAGATTTGTTCACTGAGACATTCATTTGTGAGGCTAATTATTTCCATTCATCAAGTCTGGGGGACCGTGTCCTGAAGAGAGAAAGGATGAGTCTATTTAATGACCTCGGAAAACTATATAATCACTTCATTGTATTAAAACAATAAAATATTCATAAATGACAATATTGAGAATCATTACTGATTATAGCTACAAATGATTATTACTGCAACTAGTTACTTCTCACTTGAATTCTCATACTAATGATTTTCACAGAGAAAAAGTGTATTTTCTTTAGCGCTTTGAACTGATTAAAATATCTGTTTACCCACAGGGTAGTTTTGAATTAATCAAGACAATATTCAAGACAAACCAACATTCCTAATGTTATGTAATATATTTGATTATTTTTCCAAATCGTGAAATATCAAGAATAAAATGCAAATGTTTTTTAACAGTGTTTGCAAAAGACAACATGTGCATTGACTGTATATAAGTGCAACTTATTATACTTGTGTGTTTAAATACATTTATATTTTGTATCTATTTAATTAGACAAATTGATGAGATTAATAAATTCTATGTGACAGTCCATGTGTTTATAAAAATGTAAATAATTTATAGCGCTAAATTTCAAAATAGCTAGAAGCATTAGTGCTGTTTTTAGCCCAAGCTAAACATTCATAACCATTACATGTGAATACTAGTAAACTTACAGCTTCTGTATGGATTGGATGGACAGCAAACAACACAGCCGCCACCAAGGCTGACTTTCTGTCCAGGAATAAACGGCACACCCGCAGGAAAAGCACACAGACTATGGCATGGAAAACCACATTGAGCAGATGGTATGAAGCTGCATTCAGTTCACTGAAGAAGTAGTTCAGTCGGAAGGTGATTACAGTGAAGGGTCGGTAAGATTTATGGCTTCTCTCCTGTAGTGGGATTAAAAATGTCTGCATGTCACAAGGGTCACAAGGAAATGTAAGTCCTTTTCATTGGTTTGTTGAATCAGGCACTGACACTTAGTTGTACTGACTGTGTGTGTGTGTTGCTGATAAAACTAATGAGTCACTGCAACATAGACTACAAATTATAATTCAAATGGGAGTTTAAGACAGAAGCATTTCCCTCAAATATTAAAGAGTTTAGAATCTTCTTAAGTTTATGTTCAAGGATGACAGTGCCTCATATTACCACCCACCAAAGAAACATAGCTATGCTATAAACAAAATAGTATGAAAATGTGTTTATGCTTCTGACTGTATATTAACATCAAAGAATCTTTTACCTCAGCCATAGGCGTTCCCCAAAAATCATTGAGGAAAAGGTTGCGGAGAGGGGTTGAAGGACGCAAGTCCTTGTTATCAAGGATCGCAGAGACATCATCGAACACAAAGCCGCACAGGAGACTGTTCCAGTAACATCCTACCACCAAGCCAGTCAAAAGTAAAATCTCCTTCCATGACACAGCAGCCATGGCTGACCAAAGCCGTCATTGATCACTGTCCAGGAAAAGAGAGAGGTCATTCACAAACCACATTTCCAGTGTTTACTGTTAAATGTAAAACCAAAATGTCCAGTAGTATTGGGAGGTCAATAACCATGGAAGTAGTAACAGCTTAATTGCAAATTAATTGCATAAAAAAGGAGCACCACAGGCTTGGTACATTTAAGCAGGATGCAAAATGTTTTACAAATATCAGTTCTGCTCAAATTCAAAATAATACATGTGTGCAAGAAATACATTATATTTATACTAGGGAAAGCATAGTATACAAAAAGAACACCAACCAACAAATTTAATCACCTCCTTTTAAATGGCACGCCTTAATTTCTTTACAAGTTTTTCGACACTGCGGTGTATGCCAATTTAACAACCCCAAATATTTCCTCGCAAGTATTATACATTTTATTATAAAGGTTTTTTTTTACAACAATTTCATATTACGGAAATCTGCACAAAACGCATCTGCCATTTATATCCTTCTCCAACACATAACAATCGACAAAGCTAACTCGGCCGCTAATGGTAGTTAGCTTTACAGCAGTGTGTAAACCGGCTGAGGGACATTTAGTCTTTCTTTACGACTCGACTCACCGTGTCTGCAGCAGTACAGACAGGGACTGCACTGGTGCTTATTAAAACAGCAAAAGTAAATTAATAGGCACACATACGAACGAAGACCGAGTTAAACACAAACAGGACTCAACTTAGCATAAAGCATTCCTGTCAGAGGAAATTAGCTTAGGCAAAGCAGCGCTATTGCTTCCGGTGCAGCGGTGACGCGTGAGTTCATCTGTGACTTAACCACAATAAATACCAATTCAAGTATACGCGGCAAAGTCTAAAAAAGACTGTTTATCAAAGCGGTTGATTTGTGTGACAAACAGTTTGTTCTCAGCATGAAATGATTCTATACTTTTCTTTAAGTTTGGATTAGCATTGTAGGCTAGCTGTTGTTGTCAGTAGTAACCTAGCAGCCAAAGCATCATCGAGCGGAAACGTCAGAATGGGTGTTCATTTATCTGACACCCATAGATTTTTAAATGTATATTATTATAAAACTTTAGCTTGACCTGAGCGATAGACACACGGTGAATGCTAAAAGTTAATCAAGGAAACGCATGGAAGTGCGTGTTTTTTTCCCCTGCTACACAATTTGCATTTTAGTTAGCTTTCCAGGCTAACAATACCATTTGGTGGTTTTAACGTTAAAAACTATAATATAAAAAACAGCAAAGATGCCGCCAGCTGCTCTCGAATGGGATCAAATGACCAAAATAGACCCCGCAACCCTGCACGACTGTGGGAAAAGTCAAGTGGACGAGGTCTTCGACATGATTATTTTGGTAAAAGTTCATTTCGCCGTTTCTTTCTTTTTGTTCGTTTGTTTTCTTGACACTGACTCACTTCGATGTCTTCTACAACTATTACATCATTTGTTTACTTTGTCCTCCTGGTGAGCTCCGGTTTTGAACATCTTTAATAGAATACTTCCACAGTCACAGTTCAAAGTAAGATGTAATTAGTAGTAGTCGATTGAAAAGCTACAATAAAAGTCATGTTTCTAAAACCTAGACTGTTACAAATTCTGATGTAACAGGATTCACTTCACTATTTAAAAAAAAAAAAAGCTTTTTGTAATGGAACTTTGTGGCCGTTATATGCTTTTTTTTAAATAGAAGCCATCCCCAACATTTGATGTGCAATGCAATATACAAATATACATAGCACATATGATGTTCTTTCTGTAATGTACTGAATGTACTCACCATCATGCACATACAACACAAATCAGAAATAATCTGATGCCTTTGAGGTTGTTTTCAAATTGGTTTTGATGTTTGTCTATATTTTGGCATTGAAACAGACACACATGGTGAAAACCTACTGTTTTAAGACATTCCTTATAAAAGGTTGTAAGATTATTATTAAATCAGAGACAGAAACCAGCCAATGTAGTAACCCAGGTCCTGCTGCACATCAGGCACATGTGTAACATAGGGTTTGTAACTGCTACGCTACAGAACCATTTTAGCTTAATTTACAAGAATCCCTTACTGGCTGTTGTGTGTTACTGCAGCTGCATATGTCCAGTGCTGTCAGCCATGTAAAGGTTCATCCGCCTGCTGAAAAAATACTATAATATTTTTATATTTTAATGTCCTTTAAATTATTATTTTCTGTGTAGACGGAAGACTGGAAAGTGAAGAGTAAAAGTCCTGAAGACATTGTTCACGTCTTCAGGGTGTTACAAGCCATGCTCAAGGTATTCAATATATTTCTCTCTTCTCTACAGCAATGTGGCTGTACATCTGTGGTTTGTTTGGGGTTAGGGTTAGGGTTTGAAACCAATCACTGGTTTGTCTTTTCTGGATAGATAAAAGATCGGGAGCTGGCTGTTTCCATCAAATTCTTTGAAGATGCCATGAAAGAAAATGCCAAAACTGGTTGGTGCACTGCTGTTGAGTAGCACAACTTGGCACATGTCTAATTAGCTGCATCTAAATGATTGATCACGTCCTCTGTTGTGCAGAAAATGAACTCCTTACCAAGGTGTCCAGGTTGGAACAGGAACGGAAGGTAACGTGTTCCTGCAAATGGGTTTCATTTTGTCTACATTCTTTTGTCTATGTTGTAATATTTATTGTTAAGACATGTACGTTCATCCAAGAAAAGGTAGAATGTAAGTGTTTTTATGATCTATATGAGAGTGAAAATAAAGTCCTACCTCTGCTCTACAATGAGGTAATTCTGCTTTCCTGTCGTGTGTTGTGCACGTTTTGTTGCTGTATACATAAAAAAAAAACCTTTAAAAACATTGTCACATGTGTCATAGAGTGTGGAAGTGTAGCAACAGGCAGATTGGTTGTTGTGGCTGATATCACATAAGAAGATTAGAGCTAATTCCTCACAAACTCACAGCCATCACATATATATTCTACTTTCTCATCACGGTCCTTATATGAGCAGAATGTTTTTCTTTTTTTCATAAACTCTCCCAGCAAGAAGAAATAGGTCATTTAAAACAAAACATTTTAATGACAGCGTATGACATTTCTGTTGGTTGTAAACAGATGGTGGATTAAAAGAGTTGTTGGTGGGGGTTGCTGATTTGTGTGTGTGTGTGTGTGTGTGCGCGCTTGTGTTGTTTTTTCTCTGTACGCGGTTCAGAACTTCAGCACTGGAACAGACAGCCGCTTTCTGAGGGATGAGATTCGGCAGCTTGAGACACAGCTGGAGCAGAGGGACAAAGACCTGACACAGTTAAAGAAAGATATGGGAAAGGAGAAGAAAAGCAGCGAGGAGGTAGGTGCTGCTAACTGCTGTCACTGTGTGTTTAGACCAAGGCTGACCCACAAATGTTGCTGTTGTCTGGATCCACTCTGCCCTCATTTGACCTTCCACATAGATTACAGTTAATATTTTTCTGTGATGTCTGTGGGGTTTATTAAACAGCAAAAACCAAAATAAACAATTATGTGTTCTTTTCAAAAACAGTGTTGGTCTGGGAGAACTTTGTCTTTCATTTTAACACTTTGTCTTTAGTTTATCTAATCATCCATTTGTTTTAAGTTTCATTCTCTTGTTGCTTTTCTATAACCATTACATTTAACAATCAGTTCAAACAGTGTCTTGTACATTTTTATTCTTATTTGTATTTCTTTTTCCTCGTCTCTCGTCAGCTGGTGATGCGAGCGGAGAAGGCAGAAGATGATATGAAGAAGCTGAAAAGAGAGGTAACGTGACCATCTGGAACTGTTTGGAACTCTTTAAGTTGAATTCCGTCAATTCTCTCTGCTCTGTCGTCGTGTTTCCTCTTGAGACTTTTTTTCTAAACCCATTATCTCTTTTTCATCACTTTCTTCTTCACTGGCATAGATTAAAAAGCTTAATAAAAAGGTAAGGAAGATAGATAGTGAAGGTAGACCTTTCATTCAAATAGTGGAAGAAACTATTTTTAACCAAATTACACCTGTGAAGACAGGTAGAGGACGAGGCTCTTATTTTAGGCGTTTTTAAGATCGTGTTTTTTCTGTGCCGTCACAGAATGAGCAGCGTCAGCAGGACGTGGTCTTCTACCGTGAAGAGCTGGAACAGAAGGAGTCTGTTCCTTCCAGAGAAGAGAATGCTGAGACACAAAGAAAAATTAATCTTTTAAAACGTCAGATCTGCCAGTACGAGGATGACCTTCAGGTAAAATCTTTATCTGTACCAAGAAATTTCTTTTAATTATTTGTATTCCCTGGTTGATACGCCTTCAGAGTTTTTTTTTTTTTTTCATTTATTTTTTGTCCACAAATGCATAAGCCATAACATTGTGTCTGTATCTCAGCGAATTGGAGACGAAAACTCACACCTGGTGACACAGAACACGCAGCTGCAGAAAAGTCTGGAGGAGTCTGTTAAGGAAATGGAGGAGATGACCGATGAGTACAACAAGATGAAGATTGTTGTGCAGCAGACAGACTCTGTTGTTGACCAGCTCAGGAAAGAGAGGGACCAGCTGAAACTGCAGGTTAGTTATCCAGTTATCATCAGAATATTCCATTTAATGATATAATACATACATGTAACATTATCTTGTAGCACGCACCATTTATGTACTAACAGCAGTGAAATCAGATTTGATGTGTTTTGACAAGACAAACAGCAAAATCCAATCTGGTAAAGACATGGTTCAAACCCAGGGTCTCAAACTCTTTTTCAAAGGGGGCCACATCACTGACACAGTTTTCCTCAGTTGGACCATGAAGACTGTGTAGCTGGAACTATTACGTAATAACCAGTGTTTCTGTGTTTGATTATTATTTATTTAAGTTAAAGATTGTACGTTGTTCTGCCTCGTAAGTTCAGAAGTGTCAAAGGTGTCGTGGTCCAGTTGCTCCAGCATCACAGTCCAAATAGTCCAGTCCTACTTTGGGTGATGCTAATGCAGTCCCACACCTGGTTGTATATGTTCTCCCTCCGGGGGCTTCTTGTCTGGCCCAAGGTTTGAGTGTAAAGTGTCATGATCAGAGAACTCCACAACTGGTTCCACGGACTCCTATTGAATGTGTGTGTGTGTCTGTGTGTGTGTTTCATACACAGGTCAGAGAGTTATCAGATAACATTCACGGTATTTCAGGACAGGATGAACCAATTATGGCAGCCGTTAATGCCAAAGTGGAAGAGTGGAAGGTGGGTGTTCAATCAAACTACTCACACATTCACTACATATGGAAATGAACGTGTTTGCATTTTAATCAGCATCATTTCCTCTGGTCTCCACACAGCAAGTGCTCTCTGGAAAAGACGATGAAATTCTGCTGTACCAGCAGATGATCCTCGACCTGAGGGAGAAGCTGCGTTCAGCCCAAATGGATGTGGAGAAAAGCAACGTTATTGCTCTACAGCAGGTACATGTGTGGGATACAGTACATTATTAATCCTCCTCATTTCCCAGCATGCCCGGTGGATATCAATCATCTCAGCACAGCTGTTTAACAAGATTATATGTAAAAACCTACTTTAGATACGTCAGCATTTTTATAATGAGAAAAAAAATAACATTAAATGTTTTAAAGAAAACCTAAATAAATGAATACAAATCTCTTATCCACGCAATATGGGCTGTGGCTGAGTTAATAAATGTATTTTACATCTCAGAAACCTTTTATGAGGATGTGTTGAATCGTAGTAATTATGGTTTGGTATCTTAGTGATTAATTATTAAAACATGTTCCAGAGAGAAGCCAAAATCAGAAACATGAAAACTGTAGTTGAGATGAAACAGACTCTGTCAACTGATACATTCTTAGGACCCAAGAAAGTGCTCCAGGCTCTTTTTACATTTTTATTTCTTCACACCTTCTTCATCTTCCTGCCTTGTTGCATCACACAGTTCCACATGAATAATCACTGTGCAGATATTAATCATCCAGGAATGCAAATCATTTTGTATCAACTTGCACACATATGCAGCCTCCGTGTGGTAGGAATTAGAGACTTCTTAACTTTTTGGGTCACAAACTATATTTCCAGAATTTTTCTGGAAGGAGGAAGTGCGTTCAGTATTATTTAGACGCAGGGATAGATTTCAAACTAATGACACAGTAATGTATTGTTCAGTATAACATTATATGTCTGTAATTGAAGGTCTGTCAGTTTGAAGACTGGTCTGTCCAGATGTGTTAGGAAACAACTAGAGAAGAACTGTCACTGTTCCTGTTAATCCGATCTGTTAAAGATAAAGATAAACCCGCGGCATTTTTTTGTGGCCACAGTGTAAATTCTGAATATTGGTGTTTTGTTTTTTTTTGTTTTTTTCTGTCCCAGTGTAAATTCTGAATATTGGTGTTTTTTTTTTGTGTTTTTTTGTTTATTTTGTTTTTCTCTCCTCCTCCTTCTTCTGTGCTTGTTCTTCCTGACTTGTTTGTTGTCGTTTTGTTGCCTTTTTCTTTTCCTGCTGTCCTGGGGCAGGTCATACATGACCTCTGTGCTGTAAGTTTGTTCTGTCCTGTGACTCTCCTCATCTTCTCATACTGTTGACAAACCTGTGGTGTTGTGTAGTAACTTATCTTAACCTGTCATTGACACAAAGGCTGTTCAGGAGCGGGACGTCCAAATAAAGACGCTGAGTGATCAAGTGGAGCGCTACACCACTGACATGGAGCAGCACACTCATTTCATAGAGAGCCTAAAGACGTCCATGAAGAAAGACAGAGGTCTGTTGAGACATCCCAAGCAAAACCAGCTGCCTTCCTTTGGTATTGTTTCAGGCTAATCGCCCCTTTCCTTTCATAATTTCACTAGAAATGTCTTTTGTCATTCATTCTTTTCTGATCAAGTTCTGCCGTCGGCTACACAGCAGAGAAAGATGGAGGAGCTGCAAACCAAGATGGAAGCTGCAGAGAGCAGAGTGGCAGAGGCTGAGCAGGCGCTGAAGCTGGTAGAAGCTCATGCTGAGGAAAAGGACAGAGAACTTATTGAGGCTTCAGTTCGTTTGAGACAGTACGAGTCTGTAAGTCACCTGATGAACTGGGGTGTGAATTGGCAAGAATCTGGGAAACGATACGTAGCACGATACAACGACTGAATTGAAGAAAAATGCTGTTACATGCTCAACATCAGGTTACTAAAATTAGAACAGAGGGATCTATAGTTGTAATTGCTAGAGAAGAAGTAAAATCCAAATCTCCAGCAGGATTTCTGCATAACAAAAATCAACTGAATCAATACAGTGTCATAGAATGTTGATAAGTAACAGTGAAAGGAAATATTTCAATATTTTCTTACACCCCCTATGATGAGCCATTCTGACTGTCTGCCTACATCACAGATTCCATTTAGAATCTGAATCACAGTATTATAGAGATACTGAGCTCAGTAGAACAGAGAAGTGTTTACTGTTGGTCTTTAAATATCGAGGTCATACAGGGACTTGTTTTCAGATCAGCTACTTTGCTTCTTGTTTTTCAGGGCACCTACGGCCTAGAAGATGCTGTGGCAGAGATCAAAGGGTGTAAAAATCAAATTAGAGAGAGAGACTGGGAAATTGAGGCCATGACTAAAGAGATCAACCAACTGGGGTTAAGAATCAATGACCTCATGGATGAAAATGAGGAACTTCGGGAAAAACTAGGTTAGATGATTTTTTTTATTATTAATGACTAGATGAGTTTACAAAAGTTTGTCGACAGAGAGCTAATTATTATTATTATTATTTGTCTTAAGGTCTGGCACCAAAGCAGGAGGTGGATCTGTCCGAGTTCAAGCGAGCAAAGTGTCTCCAGCAGCGTCAGTACAAGGCAGAAAATCAAGTCCTCACCAAAGAGGTCAGTGTCTGATTCTACATGTGATCATCACAGTGAAACCAGCCCATGTCCTCAGATCCAGACGGCTATTTTTTTTTTTTGGTTGTTTATTTTTGAAGATTGAAAGACTGGAAGAAGAAAGGCTGGAGCTGAAGAAACAGATCCGAGTCATGGCCAAAGATAAAGGTGATGCACAAAATTCACAATGAGCAAAAAGGTTTGAATTCATTGAAAACGTAAATGTGGTGTCACTTTTAGATTGTATAACAGTCCAATCTATTTGTAAGTTTTTGTCACCTTAACATTATTACACTATTATTACACCTTGATATTTTAAATAAAGTGCTGTTTGGAAACGTTTTGTTTTTTTTCTTCCCTGCAGTGACTTCAAAGACGGGTGCGGTCCTGGAGGAAAACATCGACATCCATCGAACGTTAGCACCTAGCAGTGCTAATGTAGAAGAGATCAGACATAAGGTAACCTCCTGACTGAGTCTGACTGTGAAACCAAACCTCTCATTAATAAACAGAGAAACCCAGGCAGACTGAGTGAGGACAGCTGTGATCAAGAGTTGTTCCAGAACCATCTAAGGTTGAGGTGTTAATACGGCTATACCATCGACCAATAAAAATTCAATAAAAATAAAAACCTTTATGTACAGTGGTTACGGTTCATGTTGTTGTGTAGTAAGTCAATACAGAGGTTTCTGTTTTAACTTATCTGCAGAATGAGCACCTGGAAAAGAATCTCAGAGAAAAGGAGAACGAGCTGAGCCTCCTGAAAACTCAGCTCAGAACCACAGGTGAGAACACAAAACTGCCTTTGGTTCAGATTCAGTTCAAGAAACTGAAGAAATATAATAATTGACTCTAAAACCTCTGCCAACCTCCACATATCTGTGCTAAGATTTATTTTCTCTAATGGTTTGGTAGAACTGCCTTGTTTTATTCTTTACACTCTCTCTCGCTGCACAAACACTGAACGTGTGTTTTATTTTATTTCTATAGGTTTTTATATGTGGTCTTGAGTATATTTTCAGTTCTTCTATCTGTTGTAGTGGAAGAATTGTCAAAAGTCAAACGGGACCAGGAGTTGATGCTGAGAGATGCTGTCAATGCAGTGATGAATCATCAAGAAGTGGCGCCCCCTGATGGTGCAGTTGGTCACCTGACTAGAGTAAGTTTATTAATTAATTTATTATTAATTTGAGGCTGTTCATACGTCTTACTTGATCTTCCAATTTATTCATTTATTTTTTGTCACAATGTTTGTCGGTGAAAATCCCATGTTTGTTTCTGTTGAGGCAGAACGAGACACGCTGTGTTTTTAAACAGTCACAAATACCGTGTCACAGAATTCCACATTGTCACTTTGCACCATATAAATCAGCGATTTATTGGCTTCCTAATTAAACAAAGCGCAACATCACACAGTATTTTTCACGAGACGTTTGATTTAAGATCGTACGCTGTTGTCCAGCAGGGGTTTAACTGAGAACAGCTGGAGGCTCTGGGCACAGCTACAGAGAAAGTGTGCCATTTTATTGATTTTCAGATATTGTTTCTTCCATTTCTGTCTTCTGCAGGGAGTTGAAGCTGGTGGTGTGAGTCTACGGTCTGATACGGCCGTGCACCTGAAAACACAAATACATCAGCTGCTGGGGAGAAACCAGGAACTGAGGCAGGAATTGAAACTGGCTCGGGAAGAAGCAGCACGCAGCTGCAGTCAGCTTGGCAGCGCCACAGAAAAGGTAGGAGCTTTCTGTGAAATCATAACAACAAACAACTTGATTTGTTTAAATGAAGTTATCAACTTTTCCAACTAACACGACTTACACGACATAAGGCCCGGGGGCCGCAACTGGTCCATCAACTTAATGTAAGTGGCCCATCAGAGGTTAGGAGGCGTTTGATTTGTATAAAGTCACTGTCTGTAGAGTTTCATGGAACTTTTAAACCTTTATTTACCAGGCCTCTAAGAATGAATGTCACTACATGATACTATTGATTTACACATTTTCTTAAAGAAAACTGGCTAAATATACAACAACAGAACAGGTTTCACTTTGATTCGATTGCTCAGCTACCACTGCAGGCTAAATTTAGCAGTAAATCTTTTCTCTTTCTGGTAGAATTTTGTTTGTGTTCTTTTTTGATACATCGTTGGAACAGTAACAGTGTTCAATTTATATGGGGTGTATTTTTTGTTTATGTTGTCTTAAAATATAAGGTCCAAGAAAAAGAAGAAAGGTTTGTAATATATGGTTTTACCTTCTTGTAACTGTTCTTTCAGGTGAGCCAACTGGAAGGGGAATTGGAGCTGCTTAGGAAGACAGGCAGCAGTGGAGTTTATGTGCGACCTCTGACCCTTCCTGAAGAGCTGGGGCCCAGTAGCACCCAGGTCATCAGCTCCCTGAATGAGTATGCTGTTCGACTCCTTCAGGTCAGTGCTTTCTGAAAAATGTGGCAGAAATAACAGAGAAACTTCAGTTGTAACTCAATCAGTTACATTTTAAATGACATCCAGGAGTGTGTCAGAGTAACAGACTGTACTAGACTGCAGAAGTAAAACAAACTTAAAAATGATTTGTCAATACTGTTGATAAGGTCTTTACTGACCTTCACTTCAAGCTCAGTAAAGTCAGAGGGAAACAGCAGAAAATCACATCTCGTTTGTTCTTCTGACGTGGTGCACTTGATGTGACTTGTGGTTCTATGATGATCGTTGAATGTCCAAGGAGCTGAAAAACAAGGAGGATGAAACCAAGACACTTGCCGGAGTGTTGGAGCAGTACAAGGATAAGTTTTCTGTCGTTAGCCACCAACAGGGCCTCCTGTATAAAGAATACCTCAGGTGAGTCGCACAGGAAATCCTCTGGTGTTTGCCCTCGAGTGTGAATTTAAAATTCTATGTTTTTTTTTTTTTTGGTTCAGTGAGAAGTCTGAGTGGCAAAAGGAGAAGGAGCGACTAGAGGAGGTGAAAAAGCAGCTGGAGGAACAGAAGCAGACAGACGGCATTAAAATCCAAGAATTTAACGTGAGTCTGACATTTGAAGAAACGTGTCTGTGAAGGACTAAAAAGACAAACGCACCTCGGCTGCGTTTGACTGTAACTATAATCAACACAACTGAGACCGTGAGCAGTCACGGTGAGAGACAACAATGTTTCAGGAAAACTAAAATATGGAGTGAAGTTTGTGAGAGATAAATCTGGCCCCTAACTATATGCATGTGTTGCTGTGTGTCCGACAGAGATGCTCTAACCCCAACCTGATGGATGTGAAAGATGTAGATGGGGGTTAAACCTGTCACTCTGTCTCCATCAGAAATATAGCTGCGAGCCCTGAGAATCTAGACTGGCACAGATTACCTTAAAACAAAAAGGATTTGGGTTTTGACCTTTGATGTCTACACATGCTGTTTTGAAGACCTTTTTAAAAGCTACGACAGATATACTGCTGTGCTTGACCGTGCTTACCTTACTTCGCAGTGGGAATCCCCAACAGAACATTTCACGACAGATTAGTGCATTTTATTGGCGCATGGATCTATTTCACCCAACAGGAACTGCTCGACACGCTTGGGAAGGGCCCAGAGGAAACCAGGAGGCAGTTCAGTGAAGCGTTGCGTAAGTTGACGATGCTAAAGGTCAATGAGAAGAAACTGACACGTCGTTACACCACTCTGCTGGAGCAGGAGCAGCACCTCCGCAAAGAGAACAACAAGCTGAGGGAGGAGAGCATCAACATGCAGCTCACAGTCACCCAGAGGATTGGCTACCTGCAAAGATATAAGGTACAGAGAGAGCCCCGAATAATCAGCCAGTTAAATATACAGAGCCAAACATACAGCTTTAACAAAAAAAAAACTTTCTGGTAAAAGACTTTCACGTATGTGAAAAAGATTCAGACCAAACGACCAAAAGAGCACCTTTGGTCTCACTCACATATATTACATAATATCATGTGATAATCACATTTGTTATGTGGCTCCTGGCAGGTGTTCCTTTCTGCTGCCGATTAAGATTTGTTCTTAAAATAAAGTCCATCAAGATTTTTACATTGATTCCTTTGAAAACTAACAGAAGACGGAGTAAATAATATTACAGCATGGGCCAATTTATTCACCTGTGATTTTGTATCCAACTCCATCCCAGCTGCAACATCAGATCAGATAGTATTCTGGGACAGAGGCTCTTTTTTTCTGGCTGGAGTTTGACAGTAAAATAGTTGTGGCATTTGCCCTTTGACCCCGAGTTCAGCCGGGGTTCTTTGCAGTGGCCTGTCAAAGAAGCAGGTTTAAAATGTCGAGGAAGCTTCTCCGTGTGGAAACACTGACACGTCTATGACAGAGTGGAAGTGGTTCCTAATCTCTTGGCTCGTGACAAATTATGACAAAAGAGCCGCGGCAACATCTGCGACGCCACAGTGAGAATTTGAAGGATGTAGAAGTATTACAGAGCAAGAAGAGTATGGTTGTTTAAGATTAGGAACTTGGAAAAGAAGAATTATTAGTTGTAAAAATATTGGTATCATTATTTTTTTTTTTATCAGTTAGTAGACATTCCACGCCCCCACATTTGAATTCCAGGCTCCAGGTCACGACCCCGAGTTTGAAGAACACTGCATTATTATCAGCAGTCATCACCTGGGTCATGGTTCTGTGTGCAGGAAATGTCTGCTTATAAAGTATCAGCACTGCAGAAGGCCCTGGATGACAGCGTGCCGTCATCAGAGCTGGAGAAGGCCAACAGACAGTTCACAGACCTGACGGTCAAATACAGAGACCTGCTGCAGAGGGACAGTGGCCTCATACAGAGAACAACTGACGTCCAGCACCTGGAGGTACGGCAACGTGAACGTCAACTGACACAACAGTCACTGTGGAGAACGTCAACTGACACAACAGTCACTGTGTGAACGTCAACTGACACAACAGTCACTGTGGAGAACGTCAACTGACACAACAGTCACTGTGGAGAACGTCAACTGACACAACAGTCACTTTGGTGAACGTCAACTGACACAACAGTGACTGTGGTGAACATCAACTGACTGTTGTTTTTTTTTTTTTTTCATTTCTGTTTGACTCAGAGTGAGAACGAGTCTCTGCGGCACCAAATCTCTGCTGTGAATAAAGAGCTGGAGATCTCAAAGGAGAAACTCTATACGTTGGAGCAGGCGTGGGAGAGCACCAAGTCAACGGGTGAGTCAGGAACAGTTACTTCAGAAATGTCTTCAGTAACATTTTATATTTGTATTTTATTTTTATAAAATGCATTGAGAAGGATTTTCATGAATGAAAATAAAAGGCTGTCGGGTTTTTTCTAAAGAGTCATCCGTCCGTATCAACCATGATACGACATTTTTATGTCTTTTTACGCACCTCACCTCACCTTTGATGTAGAATTCCATTTTCTCTGCTCAGTAGTAGGAGGTGAAACTGGCAGAGATAAGGCCAGCAAGGCAGTGGCCAACAACGAGATGGTGTCGGCCGCCAGACGGATCACCACCCTGGAGATGAAGGAGCTGAATGAAAGGCAGAGAGCAGAGCATGCTCACAAAATGTACGAACACCTGAGGAACTCCCTCAAACAGGTGGAGCAGAGGAACCTGGACCTGGAGTCCAAGGTGGCAGAGGTAAGAAAATGGAGAAAAAGGAAAATGAAGCCAGGAAGGAAAAAGACAGATGAGGTTTTTCTCAGTCTTGTTCCAGAGCCATTGATTTCTGTCAAGAGAAAAAAAAATATGAAATGAATGTGTAGAGATAAAGGGATGATATATTTGTGTGATAGGAATAATGAACAGTGTGACATCTAATGGCTGGACTACAGACCACACCGTTTATCAGTCTTTATTTCCCGTCTCTGAGATTAGTTTGGACAAGTGAACATTTTTGTTCCTGTACTGATTCTTCACACACTAGTGTTAAAGTTAGTAAGTAAATACCTGTCCCAGTAGTCAACGGACAGGGCAACGTTCACCAAGGGCAACGTTCACCAAGGGCAACTATTCACACTAACATGTTCACCTACGGCCAGTTGCAACCTTGGATTAGAAAGACCAGCGATCGAACCAGCAAC